CATCGTCGTCAGCTTGTAGCGTCTACTCATGTAGCTCATTAGTAACTATCGACAGTACAACATGTTCATGGTCTGCGCGATAATAGCAGGCCTCGGTGCACTGACAGCCGCAGATGGGTAGACCGTGTAGACCCGCCCTCAGCAGCGCCAGCCAGCGCAGCGTCGCGCCGACGTACGCATCGACGGCAAGGGCGACCTGCGACGGCGAGAGCTCTGCCGACGACATCGCTCGCAACTGCGACGTAAATTTAGCCAGGCCAGAGTGGCGATAGCCGATTGGCTAAAATGATTGCGCAATTTGATTGGTCCGACAGCGTATCTTTGGCGGGCGCGTCCAAAAACAGCACCGGACAGGCCGAGCGATTCAGCGAAAGACCAGTCTTGATGGAAAGTGCAGAGGCGGCGCCGACGATAAAGGTTCTGTGCAATCGACTCTCGTGTAGTTTTCTGCATGGATCGCTGCGAACGGTGGAGGAAAACACTTGTCGTGATTTGAGGCAACGGCCTGCGTCCATGTTGGATGGCAACAATGATGTTTCACATTGCCACCAGCCGAGAAATGTCGTTTTCAATCAAGTAGCCATCGAGGTCGACCGGCAACACGCGTCATCCTACAATCCTGCGCGCGGTCGACGCCTCAAGCGTCTTTCCAACTTGAACGATGTATTTCTCCCGTTGCACGAGGCCAACGAATGTGCGGCGGAGCATTTCAAGCTCGCCAAAGCCATCGCTATCGATGGGCCAAATATGAGCGATTTCGTTTTCAACCGTGGTTTGGCCATCCGCGCTCCTCGCCGCATCATGCCACAAGCCACATCATCTGTGATTGGACGAAAAGACTCGAATTTAGAATCCTACGGCCAATCACAAGTCTTTTTCTTTTCTCGAGTGCCCTGCAATTTCGCACCCGCCACCTCTCCCATGGTCAACACTCCACACAATGACCATAGGTGGTTGGTTCCCAGTAAGTGGGTTGTCAGGCGTGTGCTTTGCACAATGCTACCAACGAAAGCAGCGCAGAGCGCTCATCGGATGCGTCCGCTTGACATTTACCTTGCATATTAGATACTAGGACACACAACAAGTTTGCTAGCACTGACGAGCTGCAACATGGACCGACACAGCTCGTTCCATGAACACTGCATTGGCGTGGGCTCTCTCCTTGCACCGCTACTTGACTCTACGAACCGTTCTTGCGTCTGTTGGAATCGCACTCTACGCTTTCTGGCGCTATAAATATACAACAGGACGAGCGATGTGATTCAAACGCATTGCAATCGTAGCATGAACACCACGCTGGACGACTTCGGGATCGCCAAGCGCCAAGAGCGCCGGCCGCACCGAGCTCTGCACATTCTTCTCTGCGCGGGTCTTTTGGCCGCGGGGATCGCGGGCGTCGTGCTGCTCGTTCTCTACTTGGCGGTGCCCGCGGCGTCTACCAGCTCGGACGGACCACTCATGCGCTACTTGCAGAGCGCAGGTCCGTTCTCGGGCACACTTCACTTTCTTCGTCCCGTCGGCGCCAACGGCTCGATCGCCGCGAATGCATCGGGCACGCTCTTCCCCACCGGGCGCGGCGCCTTTGATTTCGACATCAACGTGACCCAAGGAACGGCCGTCCGGCGCTACACGATGGTGTCGGGCGCCCTGTACGTCAGCGTGCTCTCAAGCACTGATCACGTGCGGCTCTGCGTCGACACTGCCCTCGATGGCGTCGGTGGTCGCCGCGATCCAAGCAGCGACGCCGTCCTCCAACGGCACAACGGCGTGCGACGCTGGCTACGTCGCGTTCGCTACGACGTTCTTGGGGGCTCCGATGGCGATCTGCTTGAGCACAGAACTTGGTACACCCTTCGTTGAAGCTCTTGGTACAACATCTTGCTGTAGGTATCACGACAGCGACATCGCCAACCCTCGTTGTCGTATTGACCCGAAATGCGTCGATGCCGCCACCCGTGCCACCTTTAAAGTCGCCCGCCTGCCCCGCGCTGTCCGAAGCGCTTGCCGCTAATACTTCGAGGTGCGCGTGTCGCTCGGGGCAGCGGCCTTGTCTCTTTGTCCATGGCGCCGGCGTCACGAACGAGTCGTCGAGCCTTCTCACTTCGTACGCGGCGTATTGGGGCAACGAACTCTTCGACGCGGCGCCGTGCTGCTCGTCGCTTCAGTTTGCGCGCTTCGAGACGACGACCGTGCCATGGACGTCGCCGGTTCTGCAGCACAAAGTGTGTGCAGCGATGCTGACGGTGGCCAATTTTACCACCGCGCGCAGCGTCGGTCGGCTCATCGTCATTACGCACTCGATGGGCGGCCTTGTGCTTGGCCTCGCCCTCGCCAACGGCGTCTGCTCGTTTAGCGCCGAGACGAAATGGGTCGCCCTGCACACGCCCATGGGTGACAGTCCCGTCTTGAATATGCTGCTCAAAGCGTGTGCGATACCGAGCCTCTCGTCCGTGCTCGGGCTTTTGGGGCGGTGTCCGATCGCGCCGACGTTCGCATACATGTACGAAGCTGGGAGCTGGGAAGCCACCGCGCTTGGCTTGAACAGCTACTACACACGAGCGCAAACCAGCTACAAGCGCTACGCAGACGCGGTGCTCTGCGGTCAAAGTCCCGTCGGTCTTTGGACATCCGCGTCCGGGATCATGACAGCGATCAACGCACTCGCAGCTCCGTCGACGCCCCACGACGGCCTTGTACGCGCGTGGAGTTTGAAGAAACCATGGAGGCTCATGGTGTCTTGTAGGTTGCGTACGCTAGCTGCACCAGAGGTCTTGATGCGACAGCCTTTCGCGCCTCGTACGAGAGTAGGTTTTACGCCGCCGAAATCAACCACCTCGACGGCAGCTTTCGCCACGGCGATGGTATGTGGGGCACGGCCCGTCAACCACTGCGCTGGTTTAGCTGTCTCTACTAGCTCTAAAAACCTTTGAATTATCCTTTCCAACTATCTATCGTCTATGGATTCGTGTAGCTTTGGTGCCTGCACGATAATTGGCACCGGTTGAGACCGTGATGGTCGCGCGTATCGGGACGCCAGTATCGCAAGAAGACATGAGGCGCCTTCCGTTGTCTTGCTGAGCCAAGAAGCGCACATAAGTAAAATCACGTTTGCCGTTATAGGACCGCGTCTGGACGAACATAAACACACCCCGTCATGCGTTTGGGTCATTCTAGTACAAGACCATGCCTGTGTTGTCTTTGGGTGGGTACTCCGCCGTGAAGCACAGAGATCTTGCCACGTGCTCGTCGTACCGGTACGAATCGCGGCATGTTAATTGAGGGATCATGCGATGGATCATGTTCTGATCAAGGGCGGCTGTGTGTCGACCAATCGGATTCGAGCCAAAACACGCAGTCTTTCAGCGAGATACCACAACCGACAACAGAGCTTGAGAGAGGTTTGCTGCTCGCGGTTTGCGTCCACGAACATGTTGATAGCTACAAGTTCTTATTGGGATCGGCAATTTGCAACGAATGAGCTCAGATATCAATTTGCTCAAAGCAGTTACGTTCGCCCAACACGTGTCGACCCAGGCTGCGGCGACGACCTTCTTGACGACGCGGAGAAGCTGCGCATCCTCACGCGTCGCTTGGACATGGCAACGTGCGCCGCATAACGTGTACCCGAGACGACAAGTTTGGTTGGTACGACAGTATTTTATTATATCATTCGTGCTCCATGTAGCCACATCACCAGGCCTCTGCAATCTTGGATTTTTTCCGTTTTTTCCAATTGTCTCCAAGTTCTAGCCCAAATGAGTATCCAAGAAAAATTAAGCTTGCATTTTGTATGCCAAACGAGTGGTGGGTTGGATTTCCACACAAGCTATTTTGCGCTTGTGATGGCACGTGGGGCCGCAGCGAAGACCAAGAGCTCGGCAAAGTCGGGCCGCGCCAAGGTGCCAAAGCCAGCCACGCTGACGCAGACTACCCTACATGCTACGGTGTTTACGACCACCACCCGGTCAAGTGGAATGAGTACTGCGCCATCCGCGACGACTCTGCTGAAGCCAAAGCGTTTTTCGTCCAGACGACGATCTCGGCCTTCGTCCCACGTACGACCGGCGTCGTCAAGTGCATCGAAGACATTTTGTGCAACCACAAGCGAAGCGCGGTGGCGACTGGTTCTACCAGTACACGGTCGTCGACGACCTACCCGACGACTTGGGACCGCTTGGCGAGGCTATTGATGGTGGTTACGAGTTGCTAA